TTTTACAGTAAACCAACCAATCAAAATGGTGCCGCAATAGGGAAACATCAACAATTACTGTACCAGGATTCTCCAGCTGGAAAAAGGCAGCAACCGTGCAAGCAACCGACGGTCGGAGGCAACATGAAAGTCCTAGAAGCACTTTGGGGAAAAATAATAATAAAAATAAACTGCTATCAAAATTAATGTAATCTAAATTATCTATATGCACCAAGCCATCTCGGAATCGTGAAAGAAATTTCAATTTTTTTAAAGCAAAATTGGCAACTGTTTCTTTCATGATTCTTTAGTACCATGAATAAAATTGCATCAAACAATTTTAAACTTGAAAAACTATTGTACAGGCCTACAGGTTGTGATATTACATTCTAAGCAGGTGTATTGCATGTTATCACCTAGTTACCACCCTTCTCGCATCATGCAAGACGGTCCCGAATTTCAAAGTGATTTTGGTTTAAACACGCATTTTGCAGAAACACAAGCATGATCATAAATTTGTCACGCATTTAGCATAAGTCTATCAGTGATAATCAATTCAGGGAAAAATGTATATAAAATTAGAAGAAATTATTTTAAAACAGCCTAAAAATACTTAGATCATTGGAACGCCGCCACATCTTCCACCTCGGGGCTCCTCCCCCTCCTAGACCCCGACAGAGGCTCTGGCCCCTGTCAACTGTTGTAGTCATTCATACATTCATTGTATTCGATCACGCATTTCAAATCTCTCAGGTTGGTAACTATGTGATCAATCAATTTAAAACTCATACTGTTTTCTATAAAATACTATTTTCGCTACTAGAACATTTAGATAGAAATTCAATTGGTTTCTGTAGGTACAGCATGCCATATTTTTTGTTTCTGGTCAAAACTAAGAAATACTTGAACATATGTAGAAGCGTGTGGCACAGCGTGTAAGGTGTTGGACTCTTGCCTCTCTCCACTCAGGTGTATAGATGGGTACCTGGTAGTTATGTGGTTATGTGAGTAAGCAGCATGACTAGGGATACTCCTCATGGAGCTGAGAAAGTTACACGAAAATGTATATAGTTTGCCAACTAAGTATCCAGTGACCAGGGTTTCAAGAATGTGAAAGGCACCATATAAATACTAAAAAAAAAACATAACATATAGGTTCCAGTAACAAAATCTGTTATAAAAAAAAGGATTTGTAGAACTGTGATTAATTTCGCTCATATGCCAAAATAATGTATAAAATAGAAAAAAAATAAAAATATAATCAGTGTCAATGAACGGTTTTTGCAATATCTTTTGAACCATCTTGATACAAAGCTGCTTGTATCTATGAAAGATGCTTTATTTCCTTTACCTTCCTTCAGGCTTGTTTTTCAATCGTCATGAGTCTATTTTCATAAATTTTCCGTAGGCTCTTACTCCATATGAACCTACCAAAGGTAATTATGTTATGAATCATACTACACCAATAATAATATACTGTAAAACCATAGAAGCCTTGGGCTTCTTTGCTAACTTTGAATGGTTTTTTTTTTCTATCGAAATGAGCTTCTTTTCCAAAGTAAAGAAGGGGGGGGGGGTGGCTTCTTTTGAAAATGAAAGCTGTAAATTTCGAGAATTACTACTCTAAAACAATAAATATGGCCACTGCCACACCAGTCTGTATTATTGAGTGTATTAACTGGAATTAAATCACCTACACAACTGTATAAACCAAGTGTGTTTATAATATATTTTGTTTCCTTTAAATTCATGTAAAGTGTGTGTCTTTACAATCTCGAAAAGAAGCTCATGCTATCTTGAAAAGCTCATGGGTTTCTGTTTAAGATGGGCTTCTTTTTGAGACTACTTTTGTAAAATATAGGACTTCAATTCGTGATGGGCTTCTTCTCAAGATTAAACCTATTGGGCTTTTATTTGAGGTTTTACAGTAGCATAAGACACTAAAAGTTGGCACAGGAAATACAGCTTCTTTTACCTTTGTCATACAATTTCTGTATTTTCCAATAAAAGGTAATTTAGCATCAACTGTACCAAACTAACTGTCAGCAAATTTTGATTTTAATATACCTGTACCCTTTTTTTTCAATCATATCATTTTTTTTTTTTGATTTTCAGAAATTCTTGATTTCTGATTGTTCGTTAATCAACTTCAGTGTCTGTTGACACCTGTGTCATAGTGGCACTGATTAAACAAAGTATTAGTAGTCTGCTAGCTACATTAGTAAACTTGTAATTTATTGTGTTTGGTTCAATAAGATTTTAATACTTTATAAGTAGTCTCAGAATGCTTCTCCATAATATAATGTATCATGGAATGCATTGAATAAATCACTGCATTTTGTATACCCAAACTTTCCCACAGGAAAATGGGGATAATATGCCTTGCACAGGACATAAGCGACTTTCAAAGTCAGAGCATCCACTTCTACACATATGATACTCAATAGTTATATATTTAGTTACACTATCACTCAACTTGGTCAAAAAATCCTTCATGTAAAGGTAAATAAGTCTTTCAATATGGATGGTCCGAAGGGATATGAATCGTCTTCAGACAAATAACAGACAAATATTTTGGCTACTGCGACAGCGAATACATGAGATATCCTTATTAGGAAAAATGATGCACCATCTGGTTTCAAGATATCAATAAAAAGTTATCACTGAACATTAATGATCCAAATCCTGGATGTGAAAATAATTAATTTTATTTGGCTTTTATATTAAGGAAACACATGGATTTCCTATCAATGCAATGATTGAAATATACACCAATTTCAAACACTCAGTACATGTCAATAAAATTGCTATAACCTTCTGATCAATTTATTTTAGCACTTAGCTAAATAATAAACTGCTAAAAATACCAAAGATAGAACAAACTCTTTA